CTTTTTTTCGCAAGCATCTTTACAATAAGTCTAACTAAATTGCGACCAAATCTACTTAGTGGCATTGCTACCATTGGAATCTATTGTGTTTTCCATGTTGGCACGGATGAGTTTAAAAAACCAAACATTAGAATCTTAATCTTGTATCTATTATGATCTTTATATTTTGCTTTAGCACTAAAAATCCGCGGCGACTGTTATCAAACTGGAATTGAGATGGATATTTCTCGTCTTAAAATAAGATAGTGTTATTGTATGCACTACTTCGTTTAGCACCCTTGAGATGCATTGATGAAAGCAAAAAAAGCTCTTTAGAGAAGCATGCGCTACACTTGTTTACTGCCAACAACACTCTGCATGGAACTAAATGATAAAACTTAGCATTTTCATTTGTTCTCGGGATAAGTTGAGATTTTACTTCTCCAGCGTTGGATTGATTTAAGTTGAAAAACAATGAAAGCTTCCTTCAATGCAAATATCGACAAATGGGTTTCTAAAATGCAAATAGCTTGAACAAGACTGAGGCTCTTTTTCGCGAAATTCAGTTTTCGTTTAAACCAAAACAAGAGTACATCTTTGCAGTTGACGTTGTTTTTTTTTTTGCTACTCCTTGCCTCCGCTGGGCAAAACTCGATGTCCACGAGGTACACCTTGGTTATATACATCACAACGCATTGCGCATCTTTAACACAACTCTTAAACTAAGTGTGCAATCCAAAAGTTTATTAGTTAATTTTTGCGCAAGATTTTCTCCGTGTCAGCTTCGAGGCTCATGTTTTGTCTTGAGCATTTCTTCAACAGTGGTTCTCGACGAAGAACTCACCACTAACTAGATAATCTAGTTGAACCCAATAAGGGGTCCGGCGTCTTTCCGGGCTTCATTCTTGTGGACAGCGCGGAGATAGCTTTGTGCAACTGCGCTATCAGTTCTATCTACTATTAAATCGAACAATAGTTACCTTCCTACCTGTACTGAAAACAAGGCACGATGTTTGAAAACTGAAAAGGAGTACGGCAAACGAATTTTAAAGCGGCTTTGGAAGGTTTCTAAACTTCACTGTGAGAACAGTCTTATGTGTTCATCACTAGAAATCAATACATCCCAGATGAACCACCCTGAATCGCTGTAACATTTTGAACACCTGGTTGCATACATGTCGAATGTACCTTACAGTATTTTAACTCGAGTTTATTCGAATCTCTGTCGTATGTTTCGAATGAAACTTTTACCTCGTGGAGGAAGGCCAATTCTCTATTTTGGAACAAGTTCTGAAGTTGTCCTCCTCCTTACCTTAGCCCGTTTCTTTTTTGAAAAGTTAAGTCATCTATTGGTGTATTTCATTCTTACACTCTTCTTTAGATTATTTTCTGAGGTTATCCCTTGAGATTTCGCTTTGAACACTTCTCGATGATAGCCAACAATGGAATAAGGTTGTAGTTATGTTGTGCCTTATCGCAGTCTCTCGTCAGTCACATCTGTAACGCCTTTTTTTAATAAACAACGGATTTTAAGACTTAGACTTTAGAGCTTAGCATTTCTCATCTAAGAAAAAGGGTTTTATTTCAAGGGAGAGTATTTTTGAGTAAGTAATTATAACGTTAAGAAGGTGCAGAACATAACGGGTATTTTGTTAGCTGTATGGAATCATTAACACTGCAATGCGGAAAAACGTGAAGCAGTTAGCTTAAAATTGTAGTTTTCATCACAGAGCAAGTGTTGATAAATCGGCCAGCAGGTCAAAATCTCCAAAAGCGTCAAGAGAAGAACCAAACCGGGATTATGTCAGCTGAATACAATGATTACAATTTAAAAAATATGAAATTGTACTCGGTAAATTTGCAATTCCCTTTTTTATCCATGGAGCAAGTACTTCTAAATGTGTCGAAATTAAAATTTCTGAATGTAAAGACAAATCAGAAAAAAATAGTTGAACACCCTTGTTAACTGGAACATATTCAACCCCGAAAAGCTTATTAAGAATCTATTTACGTTATCGAGAATGTTCAAAACAGTATTTGAAGGTGTAAATTTTGTCAAAAGGAGCCATACCGTCATTTTAGGTCTTACCGTGAATTGTTTAAAAGATTCCACAGAAGCACATGCCTACTTGTAGGTAGATAGGTTATTTAACTTGCTCTTAAATATGTTTCAGCCTCTCCATATTTCAGCTTTGTTCTTTTCGTATTTTGAGGTAGAGAAAAATGAATGAGAAATTTTTTCCCCCAGAGAATTCAAACCTCCGCCGTTTACAGGAACGTATAAGACTAAGAAATATTTTCGTTATAGCGATTGAATCACATAGACAAAGTTTGGTACATAAAAAAATAATCTTTTATGGTGAACTGGATAGGATCTTTTTTTCTCTATGTGACATATAAAAGATTGTATAATACATCTTCTTAAATTAATTTAAAACGATTGAAAAATTTTGCGATGTTTTTAAGCTCCTCCATAACATTTCGAGATAGAAGAATATTCCTCCCGTCACATTTCGCGTTCATGGCAGGTCTCGGAAAATTACCAATTAGAAGAGTTTTAACAACTTTTTGTTTGTGTAAAATAACAGTAAACACATCATATAAATGTGTCAAAGTCAAGAATTATTTAAACCTTTTTCATTAGAAGGACCGGCTTAGCTTTGTTTCAAGACCCGTCATCTATACGATCCAAATTCTGATCCCTAGGGCAAGGAAAGGGAAATAATGGCCAAAAATACTTCAAAGTGCTCTCGGATTTGTACAGTAGTTTATCACTTCACAAACTTTAACGTTATTTAGTATAAAGCGCACACAAGGCGTCGTTTAAAAATAGCGTGGAAATTTTAATTGGCTTTCAGGAAAGCTATTCTTTTTGTAGCCGAATCACGATATTCATGATTTCTCCGGGTGTTTTTGTTTCTATTTGAAGCTCGCGTGCATTAAATCTTTACACGAAACAGGTCGGTAATAGATAACTCCTATGTTTGTCTTTGAAATTATCACCATCTCAAAGAGACCCTATCGTTGAATCCCAAACAAGGCGTCTAAGAACAACCTCAGAAATATTTCATGCGTGTTTAGATGGTGGTAAATGGAAATCAAACGATTTCAAAGAGAGTCTTTCATCAATTATTCACAGAAATCACTCTGGCGTAGCGAGTGATTCCAAAGGGCCGCTCTTTGTTCCCTCTGCAATCTAACGGTTTGTTACTGGAAGTGTAGCCTACATATTCACGCTGTTTTCAACGGTTACCTCAAAAGGGTTCCTGAGCCTGACTGCTGCGACAAGAAGGTAAAACACTGCATCTGACTCGTCGCGCCAAAATCGTTACATCTTGTACGCGTAAATGCGTTTATGCGGTGCTAAAATATTTTGAATACTGAATGCGCTTCACCATTTGTTTTCTACCTCCCCTCTAGCTTAATACTTTGTAGCCATTTTGTATTTGTTTACAAGACTTGTAGGGCCACCCAGAGATTTTTATCCTCTCAATGCCGGCCCTCTGCCAAAAGTCCTATCACTCACTAGGCACATCGCCGTATTAAGGTGATGTCGCAAAATCACAGCGACCACAACGCATCGAAACAGTCTATTTGCACCTACGTTCAGAAATAGGAAAAGGAGGCACGGTTATTCTGGATAATTTCCAGATTGGCGTGCAGAGTAAATAATTTCAGTAGGGAAGTTAAAGTAATTAGGAAACAAACTGCATATGCAACCGGCAGTTATCTGGAGAAAGAGAACCCCTCTTGGATATCAGGCTTCTCAAACTGTTGTACAAGTGATGAGATTTGATGAGATTAGCTTAAGTGCTAACTCATTTTATTTCTCGGCCATAACAGCGTATGCCTGTTAGTGCCCTCGTGGTGATCTCACTTCTGTTCACTTTTCAACGTTCATTCGCGCAGCAGATATCTCGCAGCAGATTCAGCCGCGTGTTTAGAACCACTTGGGAAGCGAGCTTCATTCAATGGTTAGGCCATTGTTACGGAGAACGACAAGTAAACAAACCGAATGCGCCCATCCGATTGGCCCGGCACTTGTCAAGCACAAAGCCTTGCTGACAGTTGATAGGGTTTAATTGTTCGTTATTATTTGTATGCTTAGCGACGCCATGCAGAAACTTGACACAAAAGCTCTGTTCCTGGCTAACAATCCTCGCTAACAATCCTCGCTGTACAATGGCGGACGGCTTCGCTCACCGATAGTTTACGAATTCCCGCGATCGCCGCCAGCGGGATTCCCGTCTCACTGGCGCTAGTTCTCTCTAAAATAAATCATTTACCAATTAGCGGCCCCCGCTGTAGAGCTTTCCCGCCGGGCCGCTCATTGGCTGAAAGGTAATCACGTGCTCGCCGCCTGACGAAAGGGTACCTTTCACTTCGCTTGTGATTTGATGATCGAATTCGCGACTAAGGAGTTTGCGTGTTGTATCTAGTTGACGTTGAGAGGTTAGCTGATCGGAGCAAGTTTACATGCTCTGTGCGTGTGGCGGGAAAAGAAAATCGCATGGCGTCACGGTATATATCATAAAGACATTTGGATCTGCGATCGATGTTACTATATAGGCAGTTTCTCTAAATAAGGGTAAAGCACCAGCTTCTACACAGTTTATTTCTTAGTAGGAGATAAGCCTTGTTGTGATCCGTTCGTAGATTTCTGCCGCATTGAAGCGATCCGTGGCCACGTGTGTGTGTGGTTTGTTTACGTCCGATCGACTAGCCCTTGCGTCCGCTTTCTACTGAAATTAAAGCTCGATCAAAACAAATTGGCTGTAAAAATCGGTACAGTTGACGCACATTGCTCACAGAGCTTAACAGGTTAGTAGTCTACGCGGGGGAACGCGTCGGGAGGATGGTGGTTTGTGTCAGGAAAGAGCGGCATTTTGAAAACATGTTTGTGGCAGAGTGCATTTTCGCGTTAGAAAATTCAACCAAATCCGGCCGTTAGGTGGATGCTCTAGTGTCTTGTTTAAATGTTGAATTGACCTAACCAGTATTTTTTGTCAATTTCCTTTTAGATTCGGGGCAACTGGAATGAAGAGGCCCTCGATCGCTTGTAGGATTGTAGGCGTATAATGAGCGATTCATTAGTTCAGGTTCTAGAGACATCAACGATGACAACTGATCGAACAAGCAACAAAGATCGTACGCATTCCAAGGATGGTGAATCGCACGCCTCTCACGGGCCGCACGACCCAGCAGCGCCTCAGGATCACGCGAGTAGGGAGCTACCAGAAGGAGAAACGCTGGAGGAACGCGAAACGCCTACCGCGGAGGCTGAAAGTCGCAACCAAAACGGACAGGAAAAGGATGACAAGAAGGTACCTTCCTCTAAGAGTATTCCTGTAGTATGCCACATCCGTTCATCATGTGACATGCTGTACGTTGATCTTCATTGCTTCTTATAGAACGCTGTTAAAAGCCAGAGCGCAGTATTTGGTGTGTTTTGCTTTCATTTTAGTAAGCTAGCGTTTATTGCACGATCATGAATAATGAAATCTTGGCAGTGTTTGTTGGTTTTGTTCGCGTGTTACGGCAACTGTGTTGCCGCGAATTCCCCACATTCCCGCGTTTTCGGTGTCATTTGTATACAAAATCGCAAAAGATAATTATTTGGCTCTTCGAGAGCTGAGCCGGTGAAATCTTTGAGCAGTAGTCGTCCTGTGATGTGCTTGTGTTGTAAGATTGTAATTTCCCACGGCACGGCTTTGTTGGTGTCGATCTTTTGTGCGTAGCAAACATTTCACTGAAAGCTCTTTCTTCCAGCCACCACCGAGCGTGTGAAGCAGCGCGGACTAAATGTCTCTTAACCACACCAGATCCTGTCCTTTTGCTGGGTCACAATGTTCCAAGGAACATTCTATACACTTACAAATGAAATTTGAGTTACGATTTTGCAAAGATATCGGTGGTATCCGCTTATGGTTAGCGTATAGGATCACAGTTCTCGCGTTACTAGTACTGAGTAAAGCAAATGACAAAATTTGTCATTAAATCATGTTGTCGTCGCTATTTTATCCGTGAGGACCCCTATTTCGATCGTCTGGTTATTTTCAAGTCTTTTTATTCGCGTGATTTCGTTACTACGTAAAGTGCTCTGCGTCGATGAATCGTCGTATGCGAGGTAAATATTTAGCCTGATTAAAATGAGCCGCTGGTTGTGCTGCACTGCGTAGCTGTGTACCGTAAGTAATGTTTACATCAGCCGTCATTTCCCTTCTTTATTTTAACCCTTTCTGTACGGAAACAAATTTACAAGAAAAAAAGAATATGTCTTTCTCCTGCTCATCTTCACAGATTTTTTCGCGACAACGAGCAGTTTAAGCGTTGCAGTGAAATTAAGTTAGTCTTCACGTAGAAATTTCGGAGTCTGCCTATATCTCTGCTGACTCTCCGTGTCTTTGTTGATGATACGTAGTATCAGATAAGTCATTCGATGGCATTGTGACGGCCGTGAACTGGTTTTGCTGACGGAAGTTAGGCTTTTACGACAAAAGTTATGCGTGACTTATTCAAAGCCGTCAACGAAATTATCGTGAAGCCCGCAAAGCTTGCTAATTTACATTCTACAGTACACGGTTTTCAACGAAGCTGCCTATTTCGGATTGATGACGTTTTAAATCTCCAACCATCGTGAACATCCCTTGTAGCGAATTCATTGCTCACCTATTAGACAGTTTTAGGATTCTGGGCGCTAGGAGATTTCTGGAGTTTGTAAGAGAGGGATTGATGGAAGATTCGATAGGTTTAATTGACTTCAAATTACAATCATAGCTTCGACGCCGTTCATCTTGTTTTGTCAATAGGACATCGGAAGTTCTTTAGTCACGGGAACTTTTTGTTTACCCTTGAATCCCGCCGAAAAAAATCTGGTTTCCGGATCTAAAAAGCTTCGTTACTGCCCTATGTGGTCCGGGAAATTTTGATCGAAACAAATTTAGATTCAGTCTAGAGAATCTTCTTTGAGACCGTTAAAGCGACTTCCTCCGGATTAAGTTGATAAATTGAATGTAATTTTATATCGCTGTTTCATTTCTCGCCAATGCACGCCAATTTGTCATTACACAGCAGTCTGAAGTAAAGACATTAGTTTTCGGATGTGTTTTATTTTGCTGTATTTCCCTAGTTTTATGTTCGCGATAACGAGATTCTGGCCCTATGTATAATCTTAGTTTTAGCTGTTACCTCAAGTTTTTATGAATTTTGTTCTTACAAGCTAGGCGTGTTTCTTTTCCCGGATCGTGAATCGTCTTAAACGTTTCTTAAAGCCTACCATATTTTTCAATTTGTTTCTCTGCTTCATGAGGAAAATAAGAGTAAACAATACTCAAGAATAAAATTAGTGCGATATGTGACTTAGTGAGCCACGCTAAGCGCAATATACCAGAATCAATACACACTTGCAACATTTTTTAGCTGAGTTAGAGGCGACCTTGGAGCAGTTTTCTTTCCTTTCACAATAAGCTCTATAAGCTTTATAGAAACGTTATTTAGGCTTTCTCCAAAACTGTGTATTTGGATAGTTAATCGCTCACAAGAATATCCTCCGTGAGTTGTTAGTGTTTATGTTTGTGCATTTACGAACAGAATTTCGCGAAATCGTGAGTTGAGATAAGAAAAAAGCTCGTTATCGGAGTGTTCTCCGTTTTCGCTGTTTACCTAGGAAATGTAGATATCACGAAATAACCCTCAATTATCAATGTCTTAAAATTGACCCAGCGTTTTCAATAAACTTACGTACTCCAAGTAAAATATTTAATGGATATCAAGATATTTACGTTGACGTTTTACAGCAACCCTCTCGCGGTTTCCCTGTCAAATTCATTTTTTCGTGCATTGGAGACTTCTGAGGAAGCAATTTTTCGTTTTAAAACTTTTCCCTTTCAGAATTTTTAAAGGCTGCGTTATGTTCAATTTACTTTGGCTAATTAGACTCAAATTTCAGTGACAAATATTGTCGCCGAGACCGTGTCAGTCTCCCAAGGCTGAAATTCAAGTCCAGGTTTGGCTAAATGAAATTAAGGCTTGAACAAAACAGCATTAGATTTAATGGGGATTGTAATTTTTTTTAAATTTCCGTTGGGCATTTATCTAACCATGAATTCCTCTAGAGAACAGAAATGCATTTGATTGAATAAAGATAACAGATTTAGAGTTAAACGCAAGCGAGGCAGTTATTATAGTTCAGAGAAGGATAACAATTCTTTCAGTAGGTGTTGTTGTAAACTCCTGAATAACTACAGTTTGTTCTTGTGACTAATTACCCATGTCTACTTTTAAACATTTCTATAATATTGAGTATTGAATTCCCCTGTATCACGTCAAATAGCTTGCAGTTTGCTATCTTAGTTTGGCACTCCAATTGTTAGTATCTTCAATATTTTTTTCCTTGATATGAGAAGCCCTCAACATAAGTAAAAACATTTTGAACATGCTTTATGCTGGAAATGTCATTGGAACGTTTTTCTATTATATTTCTCACACTAACAATTTCTTCTGGGAAAATATTTTAGAGGATATTGCAGAAACTTTGGGTAATATTTCCACTTCCTCACTGCCAAAAATCGTTTTGGCAAATTTTCCTAAGATGTGCTAAACAATGAGCTAGAGAGGCATTTTCTTAGTTGGAGTTAACATTAAATCTGAAAAACCTATCACCTGGTGCTCAATTCCTGTTCGCTCACAAGTATATCTTACTCAAGTTTAAGGTTTTCTTTTGTGTAATGTTTAACGTAATCTCAAAACAGAACTGAAAGCCACAATAATGCATTTTTACTAACAAAAAGGGAATTGAAATCATCATGAAATTTAACAAAGATTGCACTCCACAGACATTTAAATTTACAGACTACTGCCTAAATAATATTTAGTAATCTCAAGTAGTAAATTACTCTTTTGAATATACACCATATGAAGGATTTTTTCTGGTAGGTTAAATGTACCCTGAAGTGTTTGTTTCAAAATATTTAAGGCATGTTATTTTTTGGGTGAAATATATTTAACCTTGAATGGTCTTCCATTGTGGAATTTACAAACAGTTTTGAGCTGTGATTGCAGTTAGATTTTGATCACAGTTTGAAGCCATCCTCGATGAATGTGGAAATAACTGTCTGCCTGCACCCTAGACCACTGGGCCCGGTAGTTCAAAAGAGGGTTAAGTCTTAACCCAGGGTTAATGTCAAATCTGATTTCAGGTATGAAAGGTTTAAAAGAAATTCAGTAGAATTCTTTTTGTATATAATTTGATGATTGGATACTCTGAAAAGAATAGAGAAAACTATCAAAAAGCTATAGAGAAAAGGAATAAAGAAACCCACATGAAAATTTAACCCTGGGTTAGCGCTAATCAGCCTTTGAACAACAGTGGGCCAGTATATAAACAGTACCTACCTGGAAGCAAAACTACTTTTCCATGCAGCCAGTTCTTATATTTGAGCGGAAAACTTTTGATAGTCTGAAAGCCAGCTAAGATTGAAACACTTCTAAATTGGTTTAACATCATTTGAATTTGTGTAGGTGTCAATAAGACAACCACAGAATCAGAACAGAAGGAAACAACCTGCAAACCTTCCAAAAGCAGTAAGTGACCATGACAACACTGAAGGTGTTCCAGTCTAAAGACATAATTTCAATTTTAGCCCACAAATATGCCCACTAAATATTGTGTTACCTATTGTCGTATTTATGCTCAAGAGTTCTGATACTGATTTTTTCTAGGAGAAGTGACATTAAGTAACTTCTTGTTTACATCAGAGCAAGGCACCCTAACTTAACCAATATCTCAGTTCTGCACTTTGAGTTTACAAGTTCTCAATACAGCAGTCAGCAATAATGAATAAAGCAGTTAACTCTAGAAAATCAGCGTGCATGTTTTCCTTACAATTTCAGTTAACTGTCAAGTAGGAAGGTTAAGAGATTTAAGAAAATTCTCAACTTGAGAATGTAGTCCATTTCACGTTTGGTTATTTTTTACTGTTGCCATAGTATTCATAAAGTTACTTTGAATTTAATGTCAGCAACAGCAACAGCAGCAGCAAAAGTCATACCATGGAGGACGAAACATTCGTTCAAGTCCAGGAGGAACATGGCAAGCATACCCTTCGTGGCCTGTAGGATTCACATCACCGCGTTTCCCACCAGCAGCTCCTATATATGGCTATGCACATCCCGGGGTAAGATGAAAGAGAAAATGCCCACCCTTTTTCAGAAGAAGCCACAGGGTTGTAAATATTCCATACAGGAAGAAATATTAAAGGGTTAATGTAGAGGTTGAGTTTTGTAACCAGGTTCACTCAATCACTACACAGAAGTCGCTTTATTCTAAGAGGAATATGCATGCCCTAGAAATAAGGATCTGTAGAATTAGTCGCTAGGGAGTGATTTATGGGAAGGACACTCCTCTAGTTTATTTAAGTATTTCCAATGTGAGACCTAAGTTTAAAATTCAAGGATAACACAGAAAAAATAGTGAAATAACCTACTACTGCCCATCACTAGATTCAGTGAAAAACTAGTTCGTCCAGTTCTCTGTTGTCGCAGTAAATTAAGCAAAAGTAAGATAAAGGCAAATAATCAGCACTCTGAAGTTGTTTTTTCTCAAGAGAAAGACGGCAATAGATATTGTTCTTGTGTTGATTGTGCTCTATGTTGCTATTCAATTAGTAGTTATCATACAAGGTAGTCTCCCCTGCAAGAATTTGGTCACTTTTGTTACAACTGTTGCGGTAAAGTCCCAGGTAGGATTTTTTACCAGCAATGCTAGGCAAAATCAGAAAGTATATCACTTTCATTCTACCTGACTCAAAAGTCACCAGAAAGTGATGACATAGCCACAGGTGCAATTAAAAAGCAGTGATAAGCATTTACTTTTTGAACAAGGAAAGATTTAGACAAAGAGTGGCAAACTTAATCAAAATCAATGGCACTGAAACTCAATCTACCTTTTTCCATACTTGGCATTTCCTGCATTGTTAAAGGTATTCAAATGTAGTATAGGATTATTTAAACAATGTTGGCACAGAGTTGGAATTGTCGCACCTGACCAATTTTGAAACCTTTGCCAAAGTATTTTTGTGTTGATTAGTTCAAATTGGTCAACATTTCCTCATTAAGATGATTCAAAAAAAAATTCCTAAATGGTTGAGCAAGTTTCTCTTCTAGCACCATATCAGTAGTTCTTATGTAGATTGGTGAATGTGGTTGTAGTTTTCATTGAGAAGAATTGAGAATCTTAATTGAAACAAGTTTTGCAATGAATATCAGGGTTAGACATCATGTTCCCATGTGGCATGAGCTTTTGTTTGACAATGTTTTGTTTATAGTAAGCCAAATCCATTCTCACAGTTTTATAAAACATTTCAACTATGTAGTCTTGTAATATAATGATGAAAGGCTATCCATGAGGTCATTCACACTTACACCAAAACACGTGTTTGGTTATGTAATAATTCTAAATCTAAGTTATTAGTCTCCATGAGGTGACCTTCACTGGCAGCAAACATGTGCAAAGTTATATGATAAGACTTAAGTAAATACCAGACTGCAAATTTTGGTAATAGTTAATTTAAATCACTGGTGTGTGGTAACTTATCACTAGATGTAGACTCCCTTTCATTCTAATGGTTGGATAGTTTACTAGGGGCAGTGATCTCTGCAGTGTAGACATTTCTGGTAGCGTGCACATACCTTAACTTGAAATCACAGGGTTAGACAAGGTTTGTGTTGTTTACATTTTTTGAATGCTAGTGGTTAAGGGGTAAAGCAACAGACAGGAAGGAAAGGTCAAAAGTTTTGTAATTTCATCTCTACATTTAATTAGGCATCTGTGTCCTTCATAGAAAATGTCTGGCTCGCCAGGGTGGCTTTACTGATTGCATAACCCTCATAAACTTTAGAGGGGCTAGTTTTACTCACATTCAAGTGCCAGATCTGTGCTATCATTTCATGGTAAATCTTAAGTTGGACTGTTTATTAGAATATTAGTTCTTTATTCCCCAAATTTATCTTTTGCACAGATAAAACCCAATTATCACATTGATGAGGCTCATTGCCAAGCTGTTTGCTCATGTGGGGTCCTGTCACTAACTAAGATCACAGACCACATTCCTCAGATTCTTTCTCCACTTCTATGAGACTTAACTTCTGAAACAGGAGAGAGGGTGTTATTTCATAATCTGGAGAGAATGAATGTCCAAAAAAATATCTGATTAACTTAATGTTTGATTGACATCTAATATTAAAAAAAATAAGGGGTTGAAGAGTTTCACCAATTCATAGGAAAATGGTAGTAACCTTATTGTATGACAGATACTTATTTGCATTAGGTTGGTGGTGGTGAAAATATTTCCAGTGAAGTTTTATGGAAATTGAATACATATGACATTTTCACTCTCTTAATGGCAAATAACTTCATCCTGGATGTTGTACATATTTGGCAGAACCCACAATTTAAGCTAGTTTGAAGAGCTCATCAAACCATACATGGCAGTTGTTCTCACTTTGGGGTAGGGGTCCTATTTTTCCTCCCTTATAATGTGGTGAAGACTTGCATGGTATACTGTTAACCAGATTCCTTTAACCAAGATCCAAGCCAAATTGCTCTGGCTTCAATATGTGACTTGAACACTCTACAGAAGCATATATTGACACCTTATGTTTGCACATATACTTGTTGTAGTCTTTTCATGTGCAACAGCAACACCTTTATGTTTCCTCATGGTTATTAGGTGTGAAGGGAGGTACAATTAGGTCAGGATAATTTAGTATTATCAACTGAGTTGAAAATGTAAATTGGCCACTGTAAAGAGTGTAAAAGTTGATGTTTGGAGCATTAGTCCTTTGTCAGAGTGATAGATGAACAGCAAACACTTGAAACATCACCTTTGAAATTCTTTACTATGGCCAATTTACATTATCAACTTGGTTGACAATATTAAATTACCTTGCTATACTGATGCAGCACTACATATAGCCACTATACTGACTCTCCCACTGATGCAGCACCACAGTTTCTTTAGAAACTTACCCCCTTTATACCATTAGGTCATACAATGATCACCAAGTTACATGTTAGAAGATCACCATGTGATCACTGTACTGATCAATAATATATAGATTTAGCCAAGTCTAAAAAAGCGGAGCTCGCATTTTTTTTCCCACATGTCTCTTCAACAAAACTAAAGCCCATACTATGGATAAAGTGCATGGTAATATTAATGGATTTTCATTCGCAACTTCTCCGCATCCATGTAGAGGACTGATTATAAGATAGCGCCTGTGGTACAGTTGGCCGCACATGCTAAAAGTAGCACCTTGTACGGTCATTCATATGGTCATATGGTCATACATCCAATTTTTTGTTGGCTTGATGGGTTACTACTATTTTGTATAATTATGGGGTTATGCTCTGCGAGCTCCGCTATAAATTAGACATATCAGAGATACTGTTATCTTCCAAAAAGCATCTTCCCTTGAGCTAAGAGGCTGCTTTTTTTCAATCTCACTGACACAGGCATATAATATACCAGGCAGTCCACCACCAACATCAGGACAGAGAAGTTTATCAGTTAGTGACAATCAAGATGAACCTGAAGAGAAGCTTAGCAAAACAAACCTATACATTAGAGGACTTTCCCCTGGAACAACTGATGAAGATTTAAATAATTTATGTAGCAGGTGAGGGGGCAAAGCTTTTGGATTGTTCTCTCTATATTTAATGGTTTGTAGTGGATTTCACACTAGTTGTCAGCTTGTCTGTGCACCACAACTGTACCTCCTTCCTTCCTTTTGTAGCTTCTTCCTTCCCAATTCCTCCCCTCCTTTATTCCTCCTTCCTTTTTCCTCTTTTCTTTTAAGCTTAGTCTTTTGGTGCCTTCCATCATCGTATCATTCAATTCTCTTCTCCTACCTTCATCCATATACTTGACTGATTCATTCACATCACCCTTGGTATTCAGTCAAGTCGCCAATGGATCAATTTGCCAATGCCAACTCACCAATGAATAAAATCGAGTAGAGACATTGGCAAGTTGGTCTGCAATCCAGTAGAACCTATTAGAAGTTAAACATATAGGAAAGTAAAAGATCTTTAGAAAAAAACAATTTTTTTCTTCCAACAAAGTTTATAAGGATCTCATAGTGAATAAAGTGAGGTAAACATTGCCAATGACTGTAAAAGCTTCAGATGCAAACAAGTTATTGTGTGACAACACTGTAAAGACTCATCATGTCAATTGGTCAGATTTTTTAAAAAACTTGGCTTTCTAGACAAGATCTTTAGTAAAAAACAGTTCCTCTTTTCCAACAAAGTTTATATTTTATTGTTTTTTCACCAAAATTCTTTTACTTTTCCATATGTTTAAGAATTTAAAGAAAGCGAAAAAACTTTAAAGTCTGTAATACATTTCAACAGAAACTTCTGTCATCTTCGGTTAATTAATGTACAAAGAGTTGGAAGTTGAATTATATAGTTAGTAGAAAAATGCTAATTATGATAAATGGTGACAACCAGTAAAGCATGAATGTGTGAAAATTAAAAGGATAGTTTTAGATTTACATGGTGTAATCAACTAATTACAACATGTAGATCGCTTTGTGCATTAATTAACTGAAGATGACAGAAGTTTCTGTTGAAACATGTATTAAAGACTTTAAAGTTTTGTTGCTTTCTTTAAATTCTTGACTTGCCTGCTAATATCAAGACTCCATATGTTTAACTTCTAATAAGTTGTACTGGATTGAAAAGCAACTCGCCAATGTCTCTATTTGATTTTATATGTCAGCGAGTTGGCATTGGCAAGTTGAACTGTTGTCAACTTGACTGTAATTCTCTCCCTTTCTACATTCCTTCCCCTATTCTTCCAACTGGCTCCCTCTCTAAATTATTCCTTTAATTTTTCTGGCCTCGTTTCTAGCTCCTCTTAATTTTTTCAATCACCCAGTCATTTTTATTTACTGTTATTCACACATTGGTTCTATCATTGTCTATGCATTCATTCATTTAGTCTCTCAGTCATTCCTCCATTCATATGCATATTTGTAGATTCATTCATTTGTAAATGATTATAATCTATCTATTTTCAGTCAAAAATAGTGTGGTAGTTTGTGTGTTTTTGTTTTGTATCAAGTATTAAAAATTTTATTTGTTTAATCTACATCCCTTTCTCTCGGCAGATATGGAAATATTATTTCAACAAAAGCTATTCTAGATAAGAACACTAATAAATGTAAAGGTAAGCATCAACAGCAGCTTCTAACATTCACAAAGCCTTGACTGAATATTTTTATTTTTTTCGTCTTTGGTTGCACATCAGAACTCTCTTTTAATAAGAGAGGTCAAGCACAACTCATGTGCTGTTATCCAGTAAAGAAAAGTGACACACATTGCAACATGAATGGTTCGTCTCTATGTAAGGTGACTTAAAATTTAGTGGTGATGTGATGTTGCTTGGTTTTTTATGTTATTTTCAGTTAAAGAAAAATTACATACAAAGGTATTGTAGTGGTCTCAAATCCTGGAGTGTGCATCATTTGTGCATTAGAGCTCTGGTGTACTGTGTGGATCCTTGAACAAAAACTGTCGACTATTCTTGTCTCTGTCAGAACTTAATTTAGCCTATCTTTGTAGTAAAAATTTCAACACTCTAAAGGTTGTTTGTAACAAGAGTTGCAAACTTCAATAAAGATGTAATTGAAATAAACATGTGAAGAAAGCTACAGCGTGTCAGTAAGGGCCCGTAGACTTTGATGATCACCTGAACATCAACTTTACCAACAACACGTGGAAATACACAGCATAGCTTTATGACTGATTTAGTCAGTTGTGGGAGTAATGGTGCATGGGTAGACATATTGCAGTGTTGTTGTGTCATCATTTATGCAGTGATGCATAGTTTTAAGTTATGTTTTGTGGTATTGAGAGCTTCTCTATTTCTACTTCTTTGAGACTTGTTTGATTTCATACAGACAACAGCACTTCGTGAATTAAAAATAAATGTAGCAGATGAACTATAAATATTCAAAAGAATGTGCTGTGTGGGAAATAAAATACTAGTAGCTGGTTATTTCCTTTATTCTGTCACCTGTCTGTTTTGTTTGTTTATTGATTAAATTGTGTTTTTTTTCAAACAGGGTATGGATTTGTGGACTTCGAGTCACCCACTGTGGCTCAAAAAGCAGTTACCGCCCTGAAGAACAAAGGAATTCAAGCCCAGATGGCTAAGGTTAGCAAATGTCATTTTGCATTGTCCTCTTCACTTCCTGTTCATATCCTTTGTCGTGCAGTGGGTCATTTTGTGGTGAGAATACATGCCGTGCTGCAGTTGAACACTTAATCTTAATTTGTTATGATGGCTTTGAAATCAAAGTTAATTTACTTTAGTTTTCAATTTTACGTGCAACTTAATATTGGAGGGTGGGACAATCTCATAATTTATTTAATCGCAGTGAGGGGGGGTTAAGTCATGCCTCGTGTTATTAAATATGAAAATCAATTCAGTTGTTGAACTTAGTCCATCTACAATAGGGAGAGGTAAATACCTCAGTACACAAATGAAAATAAACCAATTGTATTAATTGGTTGGATATCCTACAGATCATTTGAGATAAAACAACACTAGAATTTTCTGACATCTCAAGATAGTGACCATCTGTAGAGGCACGTGTAGAAACCTATTAGGTTAAAAGAGGATAGACTGTTACTATCAGGAGGCTTTTATTAACATGCAAATTTCATTGCAGTATTAAGACTGATGGTCAAAAATAAACCTAGAGCACATGTGACAGAACATGTGCTAGCAAGAATGACATGAAAATAAATCATGTATCCAAAATCTTTAAATTGTTATCTAGCTGTTACCTTTCTCTTTTACACATTTGAGACTCCTGAAAGAAATTCAAAACAATTGCCTATTTAGGTTAGCCTTACTTGATCCAGTTAACCCTTTTCCATTCTGTCAATTGTCTGTGCTTGGTTTTAACAGTTGGTTTCATGGTGTGGAAACTCTCACTGTCTGTAAATAGATCACAGGTCTTGGTATATTTTGTTGTGAACCCAGTTCAATACCTTCAAACAAAACTTAAAGTGAATCACAGGCTAAAACAGAGGGTTTGCTTATTTAGATTGAATTAACTCACTGAGCCATAGTTCTGTACTCTGTGAAAGGCCTCCTTGGTGTAGAAAGGAATTGTTACCACTTGGTCTATTTCAGTGAGGGTTATAAAGACAAACTTTTGTTGACGCAGCATGCTCATTTAAGTTTAGAAGCTTTCCTAAAAAATAAGTGTAGGATTTTGTGGATTAATTCTGTCTTTTCTCATTGAGAAGTTGTTTTAAAATGCCATGGGCCTATCAGTTTTTGGACATCCCAATGCGATGTTTCCAATAACATGTTTCTGTGAGTCTGTTACAGAAGCACGGTTTGTGCCAAAAATAGCCTGACATGTCTAGCCATTGTAGGATATCAGAAGCACTTACAAAACTTAATGATTTGTCATCTACACTTACACTACGACACCACTTATTATATCTGCTAAAACACTGGAGAACGAATGTAATTATGTAAATCTGAATGCTTTTCTTCTCTAAAGCAACAAGAACAAGACCCCACCAATTTATATTTTCTATATCTACCACGAGATTTTGATGAAGCGGTGAGTGAAAACAAATTTACCCTTTGTGATGCATTGGCTCCTCATCAATCAAGTAGTTGAGCAAACCGATGTATGTAATTTGTTACATGAAATGTTCTTCCTGTCTTTGAGTTTTTTTTTATGATTTTAAGTATACTTTCAAAAAACAACACCAACAAGATTATCTACAAACATATTGCAAGCCAAAGTGCCTAAAAAATTTGAGGAAAACTTATACAGAGGCAATAAAATGGAATGATCTGTTGCACCAAAGTGTAGGGGAATTTAAATTTTATCTTTACTAAAAGAAAAGAAAAGTTAGAATGCTAATTTTAGGTGAAACATCTAGTCTTTTTTTAATTTAGGTGCAGTTACACCAAATTATGGTACATATTTATCTAAAAAGAGGTGTGAATGACGATAGAGTGATTCATTTAATAGGTGCTTTAAACAGACAACAAATTGTTATCTTAGTTAAAGAAACTAATTTTACTCTCTTTGTCATCAGAAATTAGAAGCATTGTTGAGAAGATATGGCAAAGTTATATCAACAAGAATTTTAAGAGATACTGACCATGAGAGTAGAGGGGTAGGATTTGCAAGGTAAATGGTTGAAATACATGTGTCTTAGATTTGTATCAAAGCTTTACAGTAAAGCATAATGACTTGATCAATTTCTTTGTTGCAATTGGTGCATGGGAGCCCTTATACTTGAGGGTGGTAAACTAGAAATAGAACTTTTCGCAGATCCCTCCTTCTGGCAACCAAAGGCACAAACCCTTTATACCATCGCCTCCTCCCAGCACTCAGAAGTTGTGGAGCTGGAATTGCTAGCTATAAAACTCATTGCAACAATACTAAAGAATGCAATGCTCATAACAGCAATAACATGCAAAGATGCATGTATAGGCTTCCCTGCATGCCACACAATGGGAAGTGCACAGATGCAGTAGCAAATTATACTGGTATGCTAACAAACTTCTGAGCACTCCCTTGTTCCTTGCGATGGCCAATTGTTGTGTTTTAATTGTTACAATTAACCATGTATCAAACTGTGTGACATTTGGGACTGGGTAAGTGAGCAAAACTGTTATTATGTCTGATATTTTGAGCTTTAGCCCTTCACTCTGAGGAAGGGCTAACGTTTGAAAGGTCAGCTTTGAAACTCTCAACAGAAGCCAATTTATGTCATTAACTCAGTTGATGATACCAAATTACCTTGTTATACTCTCCCACTGACACCGCACCAAAGTTTCTTTAAAAGTTTATGACCTTTATTCATTTCTTACTATATCTCTCAGGTAACTCCTGTGATTGATAGGGAACAGCTATTCTTGTCACAAATTGGCCAATGTTTTCGTGATGGGAAGCAGAATCTAGTTGTTTGATTCAAGAATGCAGCTGTGTAATAATGGCCACTGATTCATAAAAGACTTGAACGTGATTTACAAGTGAAGGCTGAATGTCACTTGTTCAACTCCCTGTAGTGAAATGTGGTGACATGTGATATATTTGCTTCTTGTTACTAAACAAAGCTTTGATATTTAACTTATAGAATGGAAAATACACAGATTTGTGAACAGATAATCAAAGATTTTAATGCTAAAAAGATTCCTGGTAAGTAAGAAATTGTACATTATGATATTTTGCCAAAGGTATTTTTGTGTCCTCCAGAAACTTCATTCAACAGCACATGTACCTAATTACTTTGTCACTTAAAATTTACATTCAGACAAAATATTGTGGACCACTATGGCTTATCAACATATCTCTTAGATATTTGATCAAGTAGGGATGATTTTTAAAAACGGTTCTATTTATTTCTGAAGTGGTTTTGACCAGTAGATTGATTAAAAGGTTGGAAACTCATCTACATCCATAAAAGTTCGGCTGTTTCAATTTACTTGCCAAGCTTTGTATCTACCAATGCAATAAGTTCCATATGCATTGACTTAATGAACTCTCTTCAGCAACATAATATGCTTTGCCTGTCATAACCTGTAGGTAGCATTGAACCACTTGTGGTCAAGTTTGCTGATGGAGGTCCCAAGAAAAGGCAACAAACTCAGCAAAACCATGGTACAACTTATTTTATCTACATCTTTGTCAGATTTAGTATGGTCTTTACTCTTATAATGACTTCTGCTTTGGTTGTCCAAATGAAAGTGACAGTCACTGACAACTGTCACACTTTTCCTGAATGAATAAAGGCCCTTAAGTAGCATGTCACTGAGGAAATGATTATTTTTTTTGTGAACAGATAATTCATGGCAAATAAGTAGACAGGAGGTCAGTATTCATTTATTACTTGATAACCAATGTCAATTTCTCACATAGTTTGACAGTCAATGCCAAACTGACATGCTACATATATGTATTACTCATTTATTAATTCACTCAATATTGTAAATGGTTTGAATCCTGGTTGTTGTCAGTCGAATGTACTTAGTCCTTAGTCCTAAGTACATTCAACTGACAACAATCTTTCACTTGACTCTGATGATGACTTCCGCTCAGGTTGTCGAAACGTCAGTCACCATTACCAACAACAATCCTTCTCAGGACTACACTCACCCAGACAATCAAACTACACTATTTCACTCAATATTCATTGATTATTTTAATTGACTGGCTTAGTCATTTACCCTTTTGTGTCTACAAAAGAGGAATGTTACTGTTTTATTATACTCGTCTTGATGAGAAATCAAAAGGTATTTATTTCGCATATATTTTTAAATTGCAACATTTTTGAAAACAGGTGTGTATATATATATATGTAACATTGTTTTTTCGTTTGTTTTTAGGGAGTACCCCTGCTTGGATATGGTGAACCACTAGTCATGCAAAATGGGTGTGTTATCAATGTTTTTTACAGTATGCAGTGTATCTTTATTTTGTTTTACTGAATTAGGAACTAGATTGTGTTGTATTTCATAAATAATGTGTAGGTAACACCATTTATTGATAATTGCAATGTGTATCAAAAAGATGGTTCCCTGATTATAGTAGTTGAACAATTTTATGGAAGTTTTTGTCACAAATTTTTGTCATCAAATTGTACTACAAATTTAGTATTCAACACTTGTTTTGGAAAAATGTCTTTTCAATATGCATATGAAAAACATCTTTCTTTTGGGCATTTTATGTAGATCAACTGTAGGCAGTTCAGGAAGAGTTATGACGACTCATGCTGCAGTCCTCCCAGGACAGGTGGTTACAATTTCCATTTTACATAAAATATCAGAGACTCATTCATTGCCTGACTCAAAACGTATTTTGCTTAAAATATATTACTTTAAATGAACACTAAAGAAGTCCTCTTTTCTGAAGATTTGTATAGGTGTTTAGTGAAACATATCATTTATGACATATCACTTTGTATTTATATGTGTAAAATCTATGGGTAAATCTATGCAGAGAAATACCAAAAGATATATCAAAGCACATCCACAGTACATTAAAGCCAACAAGTTTAGGAAAATCTTGAATGTATTTACTGAAACCAAAGCAACATTTGTGCTTTTGCTCTCCTGGGCCATCAGAAACAGGTTCATATGCTTATATCTAGCTGATAATTTTTATGTATTCATGATGAGAATATCCTTTATCTTATTGGTATATTTGTAAAAGATAATTCCTTACCCTTTCCCATCCTTGACTTTTTTACTTGTGTCCTATATGGTGTTAGAGATGGTGAAGCACTTTCTACTCTTCTCCTAGTCAGTGATGCATTCCAAAAAGAAAAACAACATATCTCCTATCTAAATCTGAAATTGAGACTTTCGTGTGTTTGTTGTAGTCACGGTTCTTATTTTATGACATTTCAACAAACCAATTTTTGAGAACTGTGTCACCAACTTTATGCTAGTATTGAAATGTGAAGTTGACTTTTGAAGATTTTTAAACGTTATCTGGAATTTTTACTTTTTTTGAACAGGGGACAGCATTTGTACAAACAAATATTCCATTAGCATACCAACTTGCGACAGGAGGAGGTGGAAGCTGGCTTGCACATCAACCTTACATTCAGATGCAACATCAACTACAACCAGTAAGAACAAGATTTAGTTATTTCACTGTTTGTTTCATAGTTTGGTTATCAGAACTGTCCTTGTTTGAGATGATACACTTGTAAACTATTCATACTTTAGACGTAAAATTGCACTTTTTAGAAAAAAATATACAAAATTGCTATGGGATCAATTATGCAAAAAGTTTTCCATGCAACAATATCACCCTGAAATTGCACAGTCAATTATCAATAACTACTTACCTCTCTTTAATAATTCAGGGTCAGCTAGCAGCTGCTGCAGCAGCAACAGCAGTAACACCATCATCAATGGAGCATAATGTTGGGGCTTTGCAGCAGAGCTCTGTGCAACATCTTACCAGTCAGATGAACCAGCTTCAGATGTCAGGCTCGCAGTACTTAACCAGTCCAGTTCATGGCTCATTCTCACAAGCTTCATGGCAAATGATGCATCAGCATGGACAACCACAACATCCACACCCACACTACATGTCAGTAGAGGTAAGAATGAGGACTGCAACAAAAAAGAGATGGAATTAAATGCATTAACACTGCTAATTGGCTCAAGTAGTCCAAAATTCTTTATCTAAGCTACATTGTTTAAAGCCATAAATGAGGATGTATTACTGCAATCCCATTTAAACCTGGTTTATTATACACATTGGAAAAAGGAGTTCAATTTGAGCTACAAGTACTTATACACATGCTCTAGCTAATAAAAGAGATCAAAGAATATTTCCATTTTTGCAATTTGTTATGCTCTAGTGACATATTCCAGGTAGAAGTAAGCCCAGATGGATAGGAGATAAAGTGCTGAGTGAATTTGATTGCTGGCCAGGACGATAAGGGACGTAAACTTCACAATGTGCACACCAGTGAGAATTGAAAATAATGTAAATTGAATTTTAGGAACACTCAATGGTCGGTGAAGGAGATCCTCTTGGTCCACCCATGTCCCCACAAGCAACAGGCCTGCCGCAACACCTTGCTGATCCTGGTCAAGGGTTAGATGAACATAGAATGGCAGGCTACACGTCGCATTACCAACAAAGGTATGGTGTTACATTTATGCTCATCTCAAAAAGAAAAGATGTTCAGATTTATAACATCGATGTAACAAAAATGAGTGCGGAAAAATTACAGTTGTGCACATTAAAAAAATGGGGCTGGTAGCATGAGCTAGGGCTTCCACCCGTTTGAGCCAGGTGGCATTTGACAATGACTTAATCCTTATTTTAAGATCAGGGCCCTGAAGTGCACCTTTAGATACAGAAACAAAACCTGCAGCCTCTATTATTTGAAGTGCTATTTCAGTGCTGGTTGGTTCCAAATACATGCTTACTCTCGCATTTCATTATCAGAGTACATACAGAATGTATTGTTTGATGTACATTCCCCCTGTAATATTTACATTTTCTAGCGAAACTGAAAGGAGAAAAAAAATCTTCAGTAGCTTTGTAAGTGGAGTGCTTATTTAGAAGGTGAAATGAGATTTGTGAACCTCTTTAGGATCTCAATAATTGCGCGGGCTGATTTTTCATGTAAACACGTTACAAATTATTCTCTGGCCTAACTACTGTTTCACACATATAACATTTTCCGTCTATCTGTATGGTATATTAAAGGTTGAGATCGGTAGCAGGGTCAAAACAATGCTGACTCACTGACTGACTGACAAACCAACTTACTGATTAACCAACCAACCAACTGACTGACTTACTAATTAACCAACCAACCAACTGACTGATCAACTGGGTGAGTGACTGGCAGGCTGTCTGTTTGCCTATCTATCTGTCTGTGCCGGTTTGTCGGTAAATCTATTTGGTTGGCTGGCTTACTCACCAATTGACTGGTTGGTGGACGGACTGACTAACTGGCTGCATGCTGATTGAATGACGTACTGACCAACTGACTGAGTGTACGACTGACTAACTAACTGATTGACAACTCAACCACACATTTTGTTATTTTTTTTACATATATCAACATAATATATGCGGTTAAAAATAGTTGTTAGAAATAGTCTTGAAAATAAACATTTTGCTATAATTTTCCTTACTGAACGAGGTTTGATATGTTTTGGCCTCAAGGCCAATGAATCTCTTTTTGTTACAAAGTACTTATGGAGCAAGAGAGACAGCAATAATATATAGATTTAGCCAAGCCTAAAAGCGGAGCTCGCATTTTTTTTTCCCCGCACGTCTCAAGGGCACAACGCCTTGCCCCGGCCAGGACTAGAACCCGGGTCGTCCGACTCGGAGCCCAGTGTACAGACCACTGGACTACTGGACTACTAGTCAAAGCTGTGGCGTTGACGTGCCCGCGGTACAGTTGACCACGCATGTTAAAAGTAGCACCTTGTACGGTCGTATGGTCCTACAACCAAATTTTTCGGCTTGATGGGTGACTACTATTTTGTATAATTATGGGGCTACGCTCTGCGAGCTCCGCTATGAAATTTTTCATTTACATAATATTGGAAAAACCTAAATATGGCCAAATACACCCAGCATTTCCTTGTATTGCATTTAAGACTTTGCACAAATAACGCTGATTTCACCAATAACACTTCTAGATTGTCGCGGAATCAAGAGGACTGTATACTTCTTTGTTTTCTAAACGCGTTTATTTTCTTCCATCACTCCTGACAATCTGAACTTACTAACACTCTAACGATCTAAAACCAATCTGCTCTTACAATTCAGTGCTACTTCGTTTTACAGTTCTAGTTGTGAAATAAAGTAATTTTCCCACAATCACGAGTTCAGTAAATTCCCAATCCCAAAGTACTGTAATATACCCTATTTTAGTTGCAATTTCACAATTACACGTTTCTTTCCCTTATTTAGTTCACTGTACGCATGTAAATCAGTGTTGAACTTTGTTTACAACGTTGTGAAATATCATGTTCACGAAATCTTCCTATTCGCGTTACGATCAGTCTAGTATTTCGTTACATTGTGTGACAATTTATAACATTAATCATTAATTATAAAGAAATCGTTCTCGACTTAGATAACAGAAAAGTTATTCAAATAATTTTTAAATTATTCAAAAGATTCTGCTCCTAACGGGAATATTGACAAAGAAAGTTCCCGTTACATTTATCTGTGCATCAAAGTTCAGTTTCAAGTTATATAAAAGGAAAAAAATTCTTACGTTAGCTACGTACAATCGAACCTGTATTAAGCTGCACCGTATCAAGTGGTCTCCCTGTATTAAGCGGTCGGTTGCTAAAGGTCTGAATTTTTTCCCCTGCACCAAGTCCCAACAACCTGTTTGTATTGCCTTCCATCTGCAATGAACGGTCACTTAAAACGGGACCACTAATATAAAACGAAGAATACTCTGTCAAGTAAAATTTAATCCATGTTTATCTCCCGAAATCAATGTTATTTCCCGTAGCTTAATACAGGTTAGATTGTATTTTTGTCATGCAAGCACAAAACTTCTTTTCTTCTTTATTTAAGAAAATGAAGATGGAAGAAAACTGAAACCACGAATTATTTAAAGTAAGTGTATTAATGATTACAATATAGGTCTAATAAACAGTTGCCGTGCTAATAATCACAGAAATTATTCCAGCGGTTGCTGCAAACCCATACCACTCGAAAATCCATTGTGTTATTGCCAGGAGAGCAGTCCATGGTTAATTAAATCTACCCTGTGGCCACTTATCCTATGTCAAAAATGGTTCAAGGGAAGCTATGCGATACGGTTTAACATCATATACCGTTTGATAAAGTGTTAAAGATCTCGACGAAACAGTAGTGTCTACTTTTTAGATTATACTGAGTTCAGTACTGTTACTTAGTACGATCAACTAAATAAACTACTTTTCTGGGCAGCCGTTCCTTATGTGATTTTGAATGGAAATTTCATGAAAGTGTTCGTTTTCAGTAGTCAGTTAAACTCGACAGTCGATTAAACAATTTTGTCATCCAAATCCGTTCGCGAATACTTCATCTTCAGTTGTAAGTGTTGTTGTTTCTCTACCCCTCTTTTTTTCCCCTTATAAACTACTTCAAAAGAAGGTCTCTTCTTTTCAGTTTAAACATCAGATATCGCATTTCCGAGAATTACGCCCATTATATTTCCATGGGTAATAGAAATACCTGCAACTTTGAACTATTTTTCTTTTCAGTTTGACGTGATGAAAGGTGTCAATGTGTTCCTGAAGAATTGAAAGTAACCTTGGAAAATGAAACGAGTGAGATTTTACACGCCATAGAGGCACCTGAAGGGATCAGGAATGGGTATTAATTTTACTTAAATCATATGGCGAACTTGATGTTGTCGGTTGTTTAATTATTTGTTTTTCTCTTTTCTTTCAACTTGGAGAGAAATGGAGAGTCTATTTTTTTATAGATCTGTTTTGTCAAATTACCTCAAAGAGCTCCATCTAATTTGGTGGAATCTTAAAAAGAACGGAACGAAAGGCAATTTTTTCTGCCCTAGCATGATTTATGAAATATTTCTCGTGGAAAACACGATCACCGCGAAAGCCACAGCCCAATTTCTATCGAAACGCACCACCTGATAAGCAATTCCAGGAACCTCCTTATAAGCAATACTTAAACATGAAATGGAATTAGACAGCTGTTACTTTTTGGCTACTGTCAGCAGATCGGCCGAAGAGTCGTGTGAAAACATTTAAAAGAGATCCTGTGTGGTGGTAGGCTTAATTATATTCAGAACTTAATTTTTTTCCAATCTCCATCTTGCGTGGCAGAGGCGGGGTGTGCGTGAATTGAAGTTACGTGCCCAGACAAGGGGACACATTCTCGAGTCACGTGTAACCTCTCCTAAGGGCGAGATTGGTTGTTGTTTCGACGAGAAAGAAAAGATAATTTGTAATTGTTGTTGTTGTTATTTTTTTTTAACAAAGAAGAGAGGAAACCTATTGTGATTGATCCATATTTAATTCGTAATGGTTCCAACTGCAGTTGTAAGGAATAGGAATCGCACGTTTGAGTGAACCCAGCTCCTTATCTCGTTCTATGTGAATTGGAACAACAAATTGCCGAATCAGCTGTAGTTTGAGCTATTCTTTATTGTTTATTTTATGAAAGATGCAATGCGAATTTGTACAGAGCTCACGCTAAAGACATTTCATGTCCAGATTAGTCAATTAGGTACTACAGACTGAAAAATTTATGCTTGGGAAATGGCCTTTTTTAATTATAGGTTAGTGAAGTACATGCACGGTAATTAAATAGAATGAGAGTATGACCTTAAAGAGAGAATTTCCTTTCAGAAACAAGGGAATTTCTTGTACTTATAGAAGTCCTAGGCGCCCTTAGTCAACAACGATTGCAAAGGCTCAGAGAAATGGCGTCAAGAAACAAACTTCCAGAACACTTTCTAAAAACGTTATTCGAACAATCGAATGTAAAGGCGTCATTGATATTTTATGCATAGACGTCGTATATGTCTAAAATACCACAAACAAATCACAATGAAACTTTCGAGACAGGGGACATAAAAACATTATCTAAGTTGTGAGTACTGCAGAGGAATTTCCTCTGAAAGGTCATTCTCTATTGCTTACAAAGCCCCAATTGCATCATACTCTCTTTGAGCTAAAGGTGTCAAAGCATTTCGAGAATTTATTGTACATAAGGTGATGATAGAGAGCTTTCCTACCTTTAAGCAGTTATTTGTTCGAAATCAAGAAATTTTTGTTGAATCGTCTTCGCCTCTGTCAGGAGCCGGTTTTATAGTTGATGTTATCCTCTGTTTTCAATTTTTTTTTTCTAACGTCCATTTGTTTGTTTTCGGCTATCTTATTGTTTGCCAAGAACAAAGGAACGAACGTGGCTGAACTTTCCATTAACTTTAAATGAAACCTTCTACATTACCTTTTTTAATAGCTTTAGTGAGCTTCAAACTTTTTCAGCTTCCATGCATGCATTTACCGTCGGAGAAAAAACCCACATTCGCAAATTCGACTTCGTATGAGCAAAATTGTGTATTAGACTTATCCCTACATTTCGAAATGTTGAAATATGAGCAACTCTCCATTAACAGGCGTATTTTGCACTCAGAAAACTTATCAATCCTAAATGAATCATTTAAATTCCAAGTGGTTTTACTGTATATTGCTTGACTTATGGAAACAAACCAGGAGTTAAAAAATACTTAAAATCTGTTCTTTGAAAAACGAGTTCGAATTCACCAAACCGATCTTATATTAACAGTACTAATGGTGCTAACAAAATTTTTCGCTGGCAAGAAACTAATGATTATTTATATCACTTCCAAAACAAACCCTCAAACTACTTCAAATTACATGACTGAATGTTTTTGAGGTTTGTCGCTCGGAGGTGTGAGAGACTCTTGCGATTCAATTTAAAGCTTTCAAAGCCCGGGGAAACCTTAAAAACACAAGACATCAATAAGGTACAATGAAATATGTTGTTTGTCGTCGTTCGTGATTTTTGGGACAGCTGAAATACATCTTATTTTGGAATCCAAGTTTTTTGAAAACAATTTGTTGTGACGGAATATTTTAATTAGAATTACATAAGTGTTTTTGGAGTGTGGAGTGATTTCAGTCTACTTGCAGCCGTTTTCGGTTTGTCACTCAATATGTTTGATCCACAAGACTGTGTGTGTGTGACAAGCCTGAAAGAAGTGCCATCAGATCAAGTGATTTCTCGTGCGCTCAAATTTTTAAAACTCCTTTCAAGAGGAAAGCAATACATAGTTTACAAGGGAAAAGAGAATCCACTCTGTTGTCAGCCTTAAATGAATTAGGAGAGACTGGCTACCACCGAAACTTTGAGAATGACTCTGTTCGCGTGACAACCAACGAATTGGGGCCGACTTTACGTCTGGTGTATAGAACACTACTAAATGCTATCGCCTTGCCTTTACTTAAGGTTTTTAGAGCTTTTCAATGGAGTTTCTTAAGTCCAACACTAAAGTAATCAGAACGGGAAATCATAACAAAGGGAATATGAGAGGTCAAAGTAAGGAAACACATGCAAGCCGCCTAAAGCAGAGGTAAACCAACTCGCGGTTGGTTTCCATATTGGATCTAAATTGTTGAGAGGATGAAACTCGATTGAAAATCTCTATTTTAGCCGTTAAGTGATATGAAGTTTACCAGTGAAAATAAGTTTTTACAATCTTGGCTGCTATGCAGCTGTGTTTGTGTATTGGGACGTAAGTCTCACTTCTGCCTGTCTGAGATTTATGTTCAGCAAGGTATAAGATTTAATGACTGTTTATGTGCCAAACTAAATTTTTCATGACCAAGTACCATAGGGTGACGTCGTGGAGAACAATCTTACGAAGTTACTCGATATAGCGTTTCCCTACGTCACCTTGTCTCTCGGTTTTCCATCGAAATCAAGAGATCCAAGGGAAAAGTATGCAACATACGAAATAGCACCAAGAGAATAAGTCAAAAGAGCAATACTTAAATTAAAAAAAACGAACGATTTCCAAAGGCTAAGTTCAGAAAAGTGGCAGTGTGTTTTATACTTAATTTTACAAACATTTTGTTTTTTTTCCCTCGAGTATTTTGTTTTAACTGTGCAGCGAATTGTTCCTTCAGAGAGGAGCTTAATTTATGGGTGTACCAGCTTAGATAGTGCAGTTAGATAGCTCACTTGACTAGAGATGAGCTTTACTGGTGAAAATGTGACGATGCAATGTAGACGCACAGCTCTTAAGGCTGTGTTTTGAAGTAAGAGATGAACAAATTCCATCAAAACAATATCTCAAGTTCATTCGATCAAGTAAAACTCTCTTGAGCACTTCGGTCGCCTTTTTAACATGCTATCATTGCGCAAAGAATAGTGGAATTGATTTGTAATTTGTTTGCTTTCCGTTTTTAGTTGTAATAGGTTTTTGCTTAGTTAAATCAAATTGAGGAAATAAAAAAGGGAAACGACAAATTGAGACAGAGGCGTGGCTGGTTTTCTTTGTGGCGTTGTGCAGTTAAATAACCGATTTTAAAATGGTAAACTCTTACACTATCCAGTGACCAGCTCTTACCTTTCCTCACTTTATAGCCTGCAAGTGATTTATATTGCCACACCCCCTCCCCTCTTCTTCCTTTTGACCGTTTTGTCCCCTTGGTATAAATTTATATTTCTTTCCTCAGCCTTCCACTGCTGTAAAGATCAAAGATGGCAACTATAATCATTATATTATATTATCAGTCAGATTTCTTCTGAAATAAGTTATTACAGAAGAAATCTGACTGAGCACTCGCTCGACAAAATCACGCTTGCTCTGCACGCTATTTATACTCTCAAGGCATTTTTCCTACCGAGGCATTTTCCTGTCAGCAATGAGTATAGACAAAGTACTCAGCTGGAAAGATTTTTCTTCACCTCAAATCAAATACCCATTACTAATTTACAAGAAACATGTAGAATCCAGGGAGAAACACAAATCAGATCTTGTGGATTAAGGGGTTGAAGTATGTAGCTGGTTGATGGGGCTTCTCCATCTATTTCAAAAACACCATACAAAAACTGTAGTGGCCGGAATAATTGTGACCAGAAAACCTTGCTACTCAGCCGGATGTTATTCTCTAACACTACCTACCAGTTACACTCGAATTTTCATCAACATCTTCTTTAGTATGGTGGGACACGTGGCAAATCGAAATAGTAGTATTTTAAGTCGAACAGGTCGTAATGTAATTGTAGGCTAACCTGCTCAATGAAATAACATTTAATACACCAATGGAAATACCTTAGATATGTGACATTTTGATACGTGTCACGTAAGGTTTGGTTCCCTCCCTCACCCCCTTCCTGTGTATCGATTAGCCGCTGAAGGTGCAAGTCACTGAAAGAGTCAAGTCACACAGACACATTGAAATCACAAAATACAACAATCCATAAAACTTTTTATTCGTATCCGGCCTGTCTTATCAGCAGCGGAAAAACACATCCAAACTGTCTTTTACCCTGACACCAATCCTTGTAAACGTAATGGATATCTTATTTTCGGGAAAGGAAATTTTTACCATCAAAAAGCTAAAAGAACAAAGCGACAAATTCTCGATACCCCGGTTGGTCACAAATGAGTATTCTGGCGATGGAGCTTCTTGTTGAATCTCCTCAAGATTTTTACAACTTTCAGCGGACAAAAAAGAATTTAAACTGCAGATGTGCGTATTTAACGGTATATCAATCTGTATCTTCTTTGCAACCTTCCAACCTTCCGACCGGCAAACGGCACACAGCTAGAATATTCGAGCACATGCCATGAAAGCTTTTTTCTTTACTGAAAAAAAAATTATGCATCTGCTATGCGCGAATTCAAGCTTTGATTTTGATCTGTCTAAGGAAGTTTAAAGAAGAGAAATGAAACCACTCTTAAATTGCGTCTCTTGTTTGCAAACATCAAATGAACTCTCATGTCTCCAAATTGTTGACTATAAGACAAGCTCAGTACGAGAAACGAGAGGAAAATTTTTCATGTCGTTAACTCGATAACAAGTAAAATTAATCGCTAACCTACCTCTCAAGAATCCATACAAATTCGTTTTGCCTAGCTTCACCACTCGATATTTACGCAGTGATAATGTGAAACGACGCTGCCACGCTTTTTCCCGCCGAAATGACGCGCTCAAGCCTCGTCTCCATGTGCCTGTTTTTTTTTTTTTTTTCGCGAACGAGCGTGAGGGCTGGTAACAATTTAATGGACATATAGAACTTTGTATCGCTATTGGGCAGACTACAACGAGCGTTTTGTACATATATTTATGCTAAATAAAGATTAAGCGGCTAGAGAACCGTTGTATAACAAATGAGCAGCAAGGGCCCGGTTTGTATGATTACTCAAAGTACCCAATTAACATACATAACATTTCTGACGTACACAAGATCATAATTGTCCATTTTGAATGCAACATTGGTACGATTTATATCATGTAATTGTTTATCATCAAACGCAAGTAAAATAGCAAAAATCATGGAAAAAACTATCCGTAATTTCCGAACGGAAACAATGCATCAATTCACGTCTTGAAGTTATCAAACTTGACTAAGACCGAATGTGAACATCGAATGTTTAAAAATCCCCGACTTGTGTTTATATTTGCGGGATCGATATTCTTACATGATTAATTTGACTACAATAACGGCAACAGCGATCGGATACACAAAGAGGAAAAAGACCAGAGCAAAAAGTAACGGTAATGTATAACGGTTCGACATCGCACTGCTAACATCTATCCCGCCAAGAAAGGTATTCCCCAGCCAACCAGAGCTACGGATGTTTCTCGACAGCCTCTCGGCACTGAATCCAGTAGCAGTCGCTCTCTGGATGTTACTATGAACCTGCTCCTCAAGCTCACGCCAATTGGAGGAATATGCAAGCGTCTGAACACAGAACTCTTTCGCGAACTCGACACAGTCCTCAAGTAAAACGCTATATCGATGAGGTGCAGCTCTGAGGGCAACAAACTGCAAAGCATTCAAGGTGATCTGCTTAAATCGGCCGATGTAAAAGCTCCTCTTAATTCTGGTGACGATGTCTTTAAAGAGCCGAAAATCCTTACGTATCTTATACATTCGCTGCTGTTGGTATTCCATGCACAATTCAAACTCCCAACAGAGAGCAACATCTGGAACATCGAATGGAGTTTTCACCACATCAGAAAAGTCGACAAGACCGCTTTCGTCTACGCCAGCAGGGACGCACAGAACAAAGCCATGCCAAGCCTTGTTTATACATATGAATAAATCTATGTCCATCATATTTCCAGTTGATGCTAGCTGTTTGATCCGTTCTTGGTCTTTATCCTTATGGGCCTTAACAACTTGCTTATCGAAATCAGACAGCGTATTTACGTAATACGCCAGCGGTTCCACACTGCGCAATGAGCCCTCTACCATTTTCTCTGTCGTGAAACAATTTCCCCACTCTTTCGCTGTTTCTGTTTTCCCTTTACGTTTTTCTCTGTATTAAATCTAGGACAGAATCAAAACAAAACGGATATTAGTGGAAATGCTGATCTTGCGAATTTAAACAATGAGAAATTGTTTACACACTGGGTTTGCGATCAAGTCTCTTAGGTATACGATGCTAAGGGAAAAACAAGAGAAAATGATCTGTTCGAAACTCCAGCTGGCAAAGATGATCTAAAGATTCTTTTGTCCTGTTTATGCGGGCCACAACTTTTCTTCAGGCGAACACAGCGTTGTACAAATATCGCCACGTTTATGTATTCAGCGAACCGATCCCTTAGTGCCATAACAACGATACGGCATAATTTAAGGGTGGTTGAAACGTGAGCTAGTGAGTCAAAGGTAGTAAGGCTTAATTCTTAACTTACACAGTGGAAGCCACTTCGAGTTCGTTACAATCAATCCTTGAGTTTCCGAGTGATTTTGCTTCGACAAAGCTGAAAAGTTTCACATGCGATCGATGGAGTCGTCAGAATATGGCGGATCGCTTTGAATGATGGGATTAAAAACCCGGAAGTTGTAGGACCAGATTTATCATAGAGACGATCAACCTCATTCCCGGGTCCTCTCCCTTCCTCTCTCGAGGAAGGTTGCGGCTGGTCACGTGCCCATGCAGATCAACGAACGAAATACGAAGGGTGGGTCTTAAATTTAATTTTGTTATCAGTGCATTTAAATTCTATAAGCGGAAGGGACAAATCGCCAGTGCATTTTCCAGCGAGTATCGTAAAAAATTTTACGCATAAGCCTCTTCCTCCATTTGTCTTTTTGACAGTATCCAAAGTGACCAACGGCAACCGGGGAATAAGAGAAAGGAGTCTGAGAACGAAGTTGAAAAACGATATGCTCGTGATCTCAACTTGCGTTGTTGCCCTTGCTAAAATTATTGGCAAGGATTTACTAATGTACACAAACTGGCGGATCAAATCTTTTATTATGAAATGTATACCGATGTTCTTGTATACCTGGAATGAAATACTTCTCAGTAATAGAATGGAACGAGATCCTGGGAACGATTGATCAACCAAGGCTACCTGGAAATTCAGTCGGAGTTGATACAAAAACAGCTTGCATTGCACAATTTGATGGACCCTGTATTACTAGTTTAATCACAGGTGACCCAAGCTCACAGCACGAAACGAACGTGAACGTGACTAGTGGTGTTGTGTTACAAAGACGTCATTCACAGAGGATTGAATGACATTTTCTTTAAGGTATAAAAAGCAATGTTTTGGTTTCGACGAGTTATTGCCGTTTAATGCTCCACTCCTGAAATCTCAAACTCTCAAAACCCATTTTTAACCCTTTAACTCCAACGAGTGACCAAGACAGAATTTCTCCTTACAATATCATTACAACATACACCGCGTAAGTGATGAGAATAAAGAAAAAATATCAATTTGGGGATAATCAGTTGATCTAATACTAAATTCTCTAAACTGACGTTGTAGGAATTATATGATTGACAGTAAGGAGAATCACAAATTTGATCTGAGAGTTAAAGGGTTAACAGCCTAAGACAATGGTAAAATCAAAGAATAAAACAAGGCGACAAGATTATCAGATGTCATTAACAAACATTGCATTTTATGTCTTCAAGGAAAAGCGTCAAGTTCCCATAAAACCCTTGTAAGTGGTGGTTTTGCAACACAATACCGCTAGCACATCCTTGAAGACAAGAATCATGATCACGTCCGTTTCGTGTCACGAGCTTGAAGAACTTAGGAGGCAAAAGTCACGTTCACGTTCGTTTCGTGTCATGAGCTTGGGAGGCCTGTGGTTTGAAAGAACCTGCTTTACCGGTGATGTTCAATCCACATTCTTTGCAACATTGTGTGGCTTATACTTAAGATGCATTTATTTTGTAATAATCGCTTTTGTTTCCAAGATCTGCTTTTCTGTCTACGGATCACCCCCAAAGGCTCTAGAATACTACCTGCGCTCGAATAAACAAACGTGTTAGAACGAAACAC